ATAAAACGTATAGGTAGTATATCAGAAAAGTAATAAATTTTCATACTTGGAACGATTTGTTTAGCGAAAGATTCGCAGCAGGATATGTGATGAAATAATATTGTTAATTATTCGTAACGTACATTACTACTAAAATACTTTATGGTAAAAATAGAAAATGGAGCTAATGCATAAATTACGATTTAGCGCTCTTTATTGTGGCAATAAAACCTTTGACAAAACATAAACGACAAAGTTATAGTCGGACGTTACGAGAATTTTCAACACGCTCTCCTACAAAACTATAATTAAACGAGAGATATAAGAAATAAATAAAAAATCCTCGCTTTTTTACATGCTACACGCAAAAACTTTAGTTATTATACCATTCTGTCACCGTAATATGTCACTGATAACAAGTAACGTACATACCTATCCGCAACTGACACATACAGGAAATTCCCCACAAAATAAACGAATTTAATTTGAATTTTCCGGCGCTTCCACCAATTTTACAGTTACTTAAGAGAATTTTGAATTATTATTGTTATTCTCAATAAAGATTCATCTTAAATTTGAATAATAATATTAACTTATAGGAAAAAGAGAAAAATATTCGATCCAATTAAAACTAAATACAAATCGAAAGAAACACAAGCGTATCATAAAAACATTTAACAAATAATTTAGTATAGTAATCAATAAATAATACAAATTACGACAAACGACCTATACCAATACAACCTTAATTACCAATTTTCATTATGCAGGTTTTTTGTTATACGTATTAAATTAACTATTATTGCTAGTGTTTTTTTCTTTTTTCTCCGGTAGAATTACCCGACACTGCTGCCGGCCAGATCCTAAAAAAAAAATGCTGGATCCGCCGCGTACAGGATCCAAACCGAGTACCCCGACCCATTCCTAATTTACATACGACAATAAAAAATTCATGCCTTGATATCTCGAAGATTACTATTTACACATAATTAGAAAATTAACAGATTTCTGGACAGAACAGATCCGAAAAACATAGGTATATTGTGGAAAGGTCTCGTTAGACATGTTGAAGTTTTAAGTATACTGGAAAACTCTATGCTGAAATAATAGAATCGATCTATCGTCGTTTACTTGATAATTAAATTGCACGAGGCAAGACTTATTCTTAAGTTCCGTGCTTGAAAAGCAATACGGAACCTTTTGTAGATCATTTACGCATCCGTCTATCCGTCTGTCATTGCAGATTTCCTCAAAAAAAAAAAATGAAACGTTGAAACTTGAAATTTGGCATAAAATTGACCCACTTATTTTGCATTAGTTAACATTTTAAAATATTTACGTAAATTGATGAAGGAGCAAATTAAGCATTTTTTTATTTTACAAATTAGGTGTATCATATTCAAAAGAGCTTATTATGAAGAATACAATTGTTTTTTAATGCCTATGTATATTTTTGCATAGCATAAGGAAAGAATATTTTGAACATGCAGAAATAGAACATTCTCTATCTTATTTCCAAATCTACTGGGTCTACATTTTTAAAAAAATCAATTGCGCAAATGTAGGCTTTCATCGCCGGTGTCCACTACTACTAGTACTTTCTAGCTTGTTGACTGTGGTCGTTGAGATTTTACTCCTAAATACTGGTCATAATATAGCGCCTTACTTAAAATATATAAGAACAAGAGCATTGTAATGAAAATACTAGATAAAAAAGCTAAGGCGTTCATAGCCGGTGTTATTTGAATAGTGGTCGATATTGAGACCTGATGGACGTGGTCTAGGAGCTAGGACTGAGACACCAAATTAGTACAACCACAGGGCTTTTCGATTTCGGTACGTTCCTTGGTGAGAACCAACAGGTGTTGGCGAAACGTCGCATAAATGACTCCATTGGTGTTCTCAACTAAGGGGTCATCTACACAGTACGTCACATGTAAAGAGAGGGGGAGGAGTCGACGAAGTGTGACATTGTGTGACAAGGGGTGGGAGAGGTCCTAAGTTTCCTGACATCACATTTCACAATCTTATATACTTGTTTAAGCGATCGTAGTCTACCATTTTCCATGATATAAGGCCACTAACTAACACCAGTAACAACACCAGAGGCAACAAGAAGTTTTGCCCATCGCAAAGATGCGCCCTCAAAGAATTGCCGCTAGACGTGTCAGACAAAATTCTTTGTTTGGATGATGCTGTATGGTTGTATGAAAAAGATGTTGACATATTAAATGTTCCTGACATTACCAATTTAAACGAGATTATAAATAATTTGAACGAATGAGTTCAAAGTCCATGGAATTCAAGATGATTAAGTTTGTAACTTCCATTAATATAATTAATAATTTATTGTTTTGTTAATTTTTTCAAATATTTGATTTGATGTTGATTGTATTAAAAAATAATTTAAATGGAAATAAAACTAATTTCGGAATTGCTCTTTTAATTTAATAATTTCCAGATGTAAAATTGCAATATATGCGACGTGTCACATTAAGGTAGGGGAGGGTCTTCACAAATGTGACCAACTGTGATAAGGACGGGGGAGAGGTCAAAAAATCACGAAATTAGTGTGACGTACTTTTTGGACGACCCTTAAGAAGGGAAATCAATCTTAACCCACGGCACTTATGTCCAACTTGGATACTTCTGAAAACTAATTTTACTAACCTTTCCCATACGTTCACGCAACCGCAGCCGCTAAAGCATTTAATTAGCATTCAATATACAAATGTACATACTTGCAACTGTAACATTTACGTAGTTCCTTTTCAGTGATTGATTTACATTCGCGATCAATAAAAACCAATTGAAATCGATTAAAACTAATGACAACAGTAACAAATGCAAAGCGTGAGAATTAAATCGCAAATACATGCGGGCCCGTATTCTCTTCACTATACAATATGTATAATTTATACATACAAAATATAAAAGCTTTGGTATCACCGTTTTTACATTACATTGGGCTTACTATCGCGAGTAAACACTTCAAATTTCACACACAGACACCGAGCAGATATAAGTGCCCATCATTTGAAAAGTGAAAGATAAACCAAATCAGTAAACATTGACGATACTGCTACTGATTTAATCAGATTTTGTGAGGCGAGCACGAATTAGACTCCGACAGTTTTATATAGCTAAATAGGTACTTAATGTGCAAATACATACGCGTAGGTAACCCAATAAATTTCAGCCATCAATACAATTTGAAAACCATCCAATACATAGCGCCGGATAGAAATACTTCTTTACGCGAATTACTACAAACAGTGTGGTAAACACCATATGTAGACCATTGCTACATTTTGTGGAATTCAAAGATGTTCAAAAGGTCAATAAGGATATCAGATTTAGGTCAGGGAATAGAGCTTTAAAAGTAGTCATTTTTGCGATAATTAATAACATGAAACGAACTATGCAGGATTATAGAAAACGATCCAGGAAACAAAATGTACTTAAATAATAATACTCACTTATTTGTTAAAATAAATGACGTTAGAAAACCGTAAAAAAATTTAAACGTTTTCATTTTTTCGATCTACGTCAAAAACGATGGATTAATTTGGACGGTTTCTATATTATTATTTACAACACTTTCGACAATATTACTTAAATATTGGACTAAAAACGCAACTTTAACGGCATTATAAAGAAAAATTGTGAACGTAGTACATAAGAGTATTTTACATGTAATTTTTATAATTTAGTTAAGATTTCTTCCCGATATCGAATTAATACCGACTATATGTTACATCGAAGACGATCAACATCATTAAGGGCAGTACAACTGTAGGGATAGATATATATAGATATATATATACTTATATATATATATAGGGGCAAAAGATTAGTGTGCTTAGATTTGCAGATGATATAGCAGGATTGGTATCTAGCAAGAAGTTTGAGGTAGCCTTAAATAAAATGGAAGCGGTATTGACAAAACAGTATTCCAAAAAATAAAAAAAAGTAAAACAAAAATACAGGAATGCAAGGGAAGAAAAAGTAGGAAAAGAACGAATATAAAGATAGGAGACGAAAGATTAGAAAAAGTGGCTGATTTTAGGTATCTAGGAAGTCAGATAAGTCAGGACGGACAGGCAAATGATTAGAAAAAATAGAAGAACAGAGGACTCTAAGGAAGTCAATAAAAAATAGACGAAAGGATAGAGGTTGATAGGATACCTTCTCAGGCATGAAGGTCTAGTTAGAGTCATATTAAAGGTAGAAACAGAAGTTAAAAGGAGTAATGGTAGATCTAGATTAGATTACTGTTGGGATGTTGGATGTTCTAGTTTTAGGTAAATGCGAAGATTAGCTCAGGATAGGAAGGAGTAGAGATGCGTGTCCAACCAGTCTTAGGACTGACGACCTTATGATGATGAGTAAAGTAAGTAGTAGTTTTACAATTACAATAACCAAAATTGATTGTGCAGTGTACCAACTATTAGTTGCATATTTGCAAATAGGTTATCCAATTTTTTTCTCTCACGGAATCTGTTTATTGCTAGGTCGATTGAAATACAATTGCAATGTGTAGTTACGTTGATAGTTAATTCGGACAATTTCCTGAGCACTTTTGTTTTGCATGAAGACCCAAAATACTTTGCCTTTTAATGAAGTAGAAAATGATTCAATACAAGGCTCGTTATAGATTCGGCAAACTCAATTTATGTTCTAAAAATTAGGTATCTATTTTCACAATTCCAACAACTGATGCAAAATTTGAACTTGTATGGGACCTTCAAATTACTCCACCGGATTCTGACAACTGCAAATAGGGTAATACTCTATCCCTACTATACACAATTAAAAATTCAATTGGAAATTTGTTTGACAAAACCTATAATGCGCCGGGACTTTTTCAAACTTGATAGCTGGATCGTTTTCTTCGTAATGTTCGTATAAAAATTAAAATAAAAACAAATGCAACTTTCAAATTATATCTTTAACCGTCAAATGCAGGCCTAATAAATTATTAATATAGGAAACATATTTTAAATGTAATATTTACTTACAATCCCTCCTTCTCCGAGAAAAACAAGTAGAGAAGCACTTACCTGAAACAAAAAAAGAAACATTAATTAAACTATCGTCTATAATTTAATTAAAACATTTAAACAATAGAAATTATAATTGTAACAATTTAAATTCCGTTTTCAGAATTTCATTAATTCATTACGTTATAATAATAAACATACGAAATAATTAATTTAATTGGACCACATATCTTTAATTTTCCATTGATCATAATTAAACTGTACTATTTGATTTACTTACACGTTATTATTGCCCCAATTATCTAATTTTATTTCTATTTCGTATGTATGTCTAAAAATAAAATAATACTAAGCAATGACCATAATAATCAAGTTGCGGCGGCATTGTTTGAAAACTAATCATTTTGACGAATACAATTAATTAATTCTATTGATGTAAGATGTAAAGCCAGTCAAGGGTAACAAAAATATGATCGTTTTCATTAAAAAAAAAAACTTAATTATAAAAACGTTTACAATTTTTGAATGTTAGCAGGTTTTTACAATTTACTCAACTAGAATGTTTCCTTAATTATTATTCCAAATCTTAAAACTATACGCACTATCTTCTGTTTTCCGCTTCGCAACTATTCTTTTATTTCACTCATGTGGGATGTTCTAGTTTTAGGGAAATGCGAAGATTAGCTTAGGATAGGAAAGAGTGGAGGTACGTGTCCAACCAGTCTTAGGACTGACGACCTTATGATGATGACTTTATTTAATTGTTTAACTCGCCATCCGTCTAAACCATTTTTAATCCCAATTGAATCTATAGGCGTCAGTAGCTTTAAATTCTCAAGTACTTTACTTATTTTCGACTCCATTTCGAAGATTTGCACCCTTAAAGAAATTTTTTCCTCATATCCTCGAGATACCTAAATGGGGGTTCCCTCACCGTGTACTATAAATCCGCTACTCTCAATTCATTTCTCCAAATATACTTAGNCGAATAAGTCTATAGAGATGGCATTAATAGACTGGAACACCGCTATGAGAAATGTATCAGCCTTGGAGGAGATTATGTTGAGAAATAAAAAAAAAAAATTTTTAAAAACCTTGTTTTTCTTGGTCAGGCCGGAAACTTATCAATCCACCCTCGTACTTAGGCGCATCGAGAATGTTGGCAGTATTTAACATATTTCGCGGTGAAGTTTATAACATTGCTTGTCGTCCTACCTAATTAAGTTCTATTTAAAAATGGTCGCGCATATTTTTTGTGTCGGCAACCGGAAATCGATCTAACTACAGAGAAACATACACAGGTGCTATTAACGACACAAGCAAGTAAAAGAGTCATTTTCCACATTACCATGTAATCGATGTTTTTTAAATATTCAGATTTGTACCACACAATTTATTTAAGAGTCAATGCAAGATAGTGATATGATAGGTAACGTTCGTTATATTTATTTATACGTGTTAAATAAAGCACGGTCACAAGTCCACTATAGTATACGTCCCTTCACACGTGATACTCAGTTAGAAACAGTCTTTAGTGTTTACTTTAGCTACCTGTAGCGGTATATATTGGTAACAAAGAAAAATTCATGTAAAAGCAAAAAGCATCAAAAGGTGCACTTTACGCTGTAATTTGAATCACCCCCATAGTCACGTGACAGTGAGTAATGACATTACATTACTTTTGCTTTAATAACACGGTATAAGTGAGTTACATCTCACTGTTCTCTCTTATTTAAAATAAATTCAATGCCGATTGAATTTTTCCGATATCTTTTTTGTTTTCGAGAAAAGTCGTTTAAAATTTGGGTCCGTACGCGAATTATTAAGTTGGTCTAGAAACAATTGAATTTTCTACAAGCGATCATAATAAAAATTTTAGGGCACTAAGCGAAAGGCATTGTTTTTCACGTTTTAACTTAGAAGCGATTCAATTTTGACATGTTTATTAGTAAAAGTTCAATTATTTCTCGTTCAACTCAATATTCGCACACGGCCCCGAAAACTGAAACAGATCTCAAAATCAAACGGCATTAAATTTCTTTTAAATAGACGAATCCATCAGTGAGATATAAGTAACGTGACCATACGTCCCGTTTTAAACGGGCCCTTCCCTTTTTTCGGTTATCGATCCCGTTGTTTCAAAAAAGCTCCGGGACCCACAAATGTCCCATTTTCCGAAACCGTGTGAAAATTATGGAGCTCGCCGGACGCGTCAATCAATTTGGTTCAGAAATAGACCAAACAGTTTCTTCCATTTACGGTTCGTAGTTGAAATTGAAAGATAATAAATAGCACTGATATTAACGAAAATTTGTGATAAGTATGGCTTCAGAATTTTATAAAACAATTGAATATCTGGAACAGTGGACTTACTCTCTTACCGATGAAATGGAGATATTTCATTGGAAAAATTTAAAAATCGTTCCAAAAGTACTAGATGATCCGATTGAGATGGGATATATATATATATTGATTGTAATAAAGATACAGAAGTATTTGACGAACTTTCATTATTTCATTCATCGCATGCAGTAAATCGTGTCGTTATCGCCCTGTGTGAAAGTGGCCTAACTGTCGTAGTATGCTGCATAAGGCCTAGCGCGCACCGCGATTTTTTAGTCTCGAAAATGTAACAGGCTAATAAATGCAAGTGCGCGGATGAACGACATAATAATTGCTACGATTAAAATATCCTATTTTGCTTACAACGTGGTGTTGCAGATGTAGAACGAATCGTACGCGCACTTGCGACTAAACTGTCGCAACTCACTGATGTTCTGTGTATAGTTAATGAATCCATTTGTGGTTATCAAATATGTCAGATTATGAGTCCTCTGTTGCAAAGGAAGAAAAAACGTCACATTGTATTTTGGATATGGAAAAAATTATATCCGAAATTGAGAAATGAAAATTGACCTTTAACTAAGCTCTGATTTATGATAGGATAGAACCAATATTGTTTCTTCTGCTTCCTTTTATTATTAGCAGTAAAAATGCCACAATACTCACTGTTTCTGAGACGCTCATATTACAACTGACTAAAATTTATTTGCCTGTTGCAGTATATGAGACCGAGAATAGTTGCCGCATATTATCGTTGAATAATTGGTCCACATGGAATCTCTCAATAATGTTACTATACCTATACGTGATGTGAATGTTAATTAAATGTTAACATATGATGATATTGTTTGTCGAAAGAGTCAGAAATCACACCGATAAAAAAAAGCTTTGTAGGAGCTAGGAATATCTTCTTTACTTTTGACTTTATTTATTTCGAAATGGAAACGTGTCAGATTTATCAGTAAATGTTTTTCTGAAATTTAAAAAATGAACCATTCGTTTTACCGTTATTCCATTATGAATGTTTCGTCAATCTACGACGGAACATCCTTTTTTTTTACTAATTTCATTTTATGTTTATAGGTAATTAGCCTATAATGAGTAGATACAAAATTTTTAGAAAAAAATAATTCATTTAAAATTCAGAAGTTTGGATTACATTTAACATTAGTGAGATATATCCTACGAAAAAGACGTTTTTGGCATTCTTTTGGAAGTTTAAAAGAACAACTGTTGCTGGAAAATAGAGACATTTTACTCATCATGAATTTGCAACAACTGATCTCATTAATTCTTTAATAAAGTATAGAAAAGTTGAAGAATTAAGGCAGAGTAGCGATCTGTATATCAACCAACTGAGACCGCACATGGTGGCACCCGGAGCAAAACAGGCCTACCAACCATTCTCTATGCCCTAATCGTAGGATAAAACCTTCGAAATTTATGCGTACCCAACTGTTTGCCTTGTACAAAATAGTTGACATGGAATTGGCTATCTACTTGACTTGCAAAGTTAAGAAAGAGTAATGCTTTAACGTTCTTTACTGTAACTGTACTAAACGTTCCATGTGTGTTCGACTCTTGTTACTTAAGAGGTCTTTTAGAATGATAAAAATCGTCCATCAACCACGCGATTACCTAACGCGACACATACGTATACCGAATACCTAAAATTCTTAAGTAGCGAACAAAAATGCGACCAATTTTCAAACGTAAGATTAAAACGGACAATGCGTCGTTAAAATGGAAATCGAATTCATTAAAACAGTTGCACACTTTATTGCGTAATTGCGGAAACTGAAAAATTACACCTGTCTACCGGTACATGATTAGAAGTATGCAAATTAACCATTTGATTGCCTATAGAAAAAAATAATGTCACAAAGCGCAACATTAAAAATCTTATCGGTCAAAAATCGAAGAGCGAAATTATATTTTCAGTAGTTTACTTTTACAATTAGTTAAGAAATAATGAAGAAAAGGTTGAGATATAGGCTATAGATATTAGTATTTCACCCTAGAAGCGCGAGCTCCTTTTTTTATCCAAAATATGGAACTGCTTATGCTTGTAGTTTTCCAACGAGTATTAGACAGTGATGAAGACCTGGTTTTTTGTTTGTATCATTAATTGAAGTAATTACTAAAACAGGGTTCCGAGAAATTGATTTATCAATTTTTATACTAAAAAGACAGCAAATGCAAAAACTAATAGAAAGTTTTCATATTAGTCAAGTTGCCAAAAAATTATTGCAAATCATTTTGGAGAATTGATTGGTTCAAGAGAAATTCTTGGTACAAAAAAAGAGAAAATATTTATGCCGTAATAATAAAGGTGAATTTTAGACGTTATTTGATTATAAAAAGCTTCGTATAAATCTCTTTTGTTTGTCAAATAGAATGTTTGCAATAATGGTAATTTTTACACTTTTGCAGTTTCACCCAGACAGATCTGCAAAACTAGCTTTGTTGGAACCGACTTTGTTTTGTTCTAAAACCAATCTATAATATAGAATAAACCATTCCAAAAAAAAAAAAAAATTCCTATAACATATAGAATCTTTGTTTCAAAAACCTATGACGATTTTGATTCAAGCAGATTTAAAAATTAGAGAGGTTCCAAAGTTCAACATAAGGTATCATTAAAAATATGCAATAGTATTTTGATAAATATGTATAGTAGTGGCAAATCTATGATAGTATCATTAGAAATAGATTAA